TCACAGGGACACCTGGACCATCACAGGGACACCTGGACAACAGGGACACCTGGACAGGTCTCCAGACAAAGAGATAATCAACCATCCTCTCTGTCACACCTGGAGTCACACAGATGAGCCCTAAAAGAGAATCAAACTGGGAACTCTGGACTCAGATCATCTGCTGCACAGTTCTGAGCACTTTTTATAATTTATTAGTTTATTGTAATAAATTATTGAAAAGTATCAAGTCTTTAACATTATGAAGCAATCAGACAGTCACATGTTCACATGTATGTAATTATTTCAGTCTAACTGAAGGCGAGTTGTGTAAACGTGCTGGTATCAAACCAGTAGCTCATTGTGGGACTCGGTACCCTTGAAGCAGCATCCAGGCTCAAAATGATGGCGACTTCACAATTCTCACATTTATAACAGACATCTGATGCTGCACTGTGTCTAAAGCAGCTTGTATATTTAAAGTGAATGTGTTGATGTTGAGGCCAGGCTCAGTGAAGGTCACAGATGATCACTGTACATGTGCTGCACAGGAAACAACCAGCATGATAAACGCATGTTTCAGGCACACTGGGACCACTAACCACACCACCTCCCTCCATCGAACAACTAAATATACTTCAGCAAAAATCTACGCTACACTCAAAATATTATAACAACTACCATTTAAAGTGCACATAGCTATGAAGTTGGCGAATCTTATGCAATTTTCCCAAACCAGAGGCCTGCCCATTGATTAGCGCGCTGAAGTGGGCTCGTGTTAGCATGCTAGGCTAACTACTGTGGACACTTCAGGCAAAGCTTGATGCTCTGTGTTTGTACAGATGACAGATGTGACCCTTACCTTCCAGATGGATGAAGAGTAATTCCTCGAGTTGCTCCTTACAGGCAAAGTCCTTGAAATGCTTCTAGTCAGGTTCAACATTTTGACACCCGGTTCAACAAGCTAACCAGATTTATTACAGAACAAACGCGACTTTAAAGGAGATTAATGTAAAGAGTGACCTGAAAACTGTGCACCGACACGGTTTTAAACTAAGATAAGCTTTGTTCGTATCCAGTCAGATCAAACTGAAGCCTGTCCGAACCGCTCGAGTCTTGACTTTACAAGTAATGGAAGTGCGAAGCTTCTGGAATCATCCAACACATGCTGCACCAGGACCCCAAAGATGGGTGTTTAATCTACTGCCCGAATAAAAGTCAAAAACTTTGTTTTCTTATCTATTTTAAAGCTCATTATAAATTATTCGCATGGCTTTAACTAACACCATGATACCAAGGCCTATTAACTTTTGTTGTTTTTTCACGTAAAGACAAATCATTAAAAGTTGAATTTGTTCTTTTATTAAGGCTCGAGTAGGACAGACACACGCAGTGGACATGTGAAGGTCGTGGTTTCACGTGAGTTACATCAGGGTCCTGTTTACTGCAGGAGGAGGAGACTCATGTAGCGCTTCTTTCTTTATTTGCGTCAGAATATCAGTGCAATGTACAGAATGTACCCTGTAATCTTTCTTTCTTTGTTTGTTTCAAGAAACAATATATGTATGTATGTATGTATGTATGTATGTATGTATGTATGTATGTATGTATGTATGTATGTATGTATGTATGTATGTATGTATGTATGTATG